AGGGAGCAGTGTATTTATTAATTGTGCATGAATGTTCGTCCAAGAGAAAGCCTTTTACTTTAACTTTTAACAACAATTTGTCGACGATTTAGAGCGCGTTTTGGAGCTGTTTAGGCGAAATAGAAAGAATTTTTTCGCATGATATGTGACAATGGGTAAAATATGAATTCATTACTCTACTCTGAAGTGAAATCAGCAGTCAGCCGAGTGGACAATAGTCAGCGAAAGCCTTCATAAGGACCAATAGAAGAGCGTCAATAAGAAAAATTTGTACCTAACGATCGAAACGTCTTGAAATTTTGACACATTTTGCTTGATGGCTAATACTATCCAGAAATCATACCGTTCTTCCAACACTGTTGCTATATACGTGTCAAACCAGAGACGTATTTGATGATAGCAGGATGTGATACTCGTAAGTTGTTTTTAAACAAAAGATTTGCTTAAATCGAGTTGGTTGGGTCATAACTTTCAAAAAGAGGCAGATACAAAGGAAGCATCGAATGCTTGAAAGGTTGTGTTTTATGTAAGAGGTTTTTGAAAAAATACTTCTGTAACGGTGCACCTAAGTTGTTCGCATTCTGCGAACGAAATGTAAACTGGCCTAAAATCACAAGCCGGCGGAAAGTGCATAAATATATATATATATATGTACACATATATAATAGTATATCGTAAACGCCCTTTCAACTCCTTGTTGAGATCATGTTGGTATCACTGAATTGTGATTTTTAAAAAATTTACTCACAAATTATCTACAGAAATTTATATTTACAATGATTCTTCTTCCGATTCCCGATTTCTTGACTCGCCTGACTTTATTGAAATCTTATTTGGTGTTTGAACAAAGTTCATGTCTCTACGCAAGCTATTGAAATCGTAACCGTAATTCAAGAGACAGACAGACGCAGCTGAATTGATCTTTTTTTATATAATGCTGATCAAAAATATTATTAAAACACGCAGACTAGACTAACAGGAGATCTCAAACAGTTATGAGGGGATGTTTCAACAGTGAACTATCATGGAATCAATAAACTCAAATGTATTTATTCTTCGAATATCAAATCATTTAGCCTAAAACATTTTCAATCAATTCCAGAAATGATTTTTTTAAAATCCTTTCAATATACATACGCACCGTGGCTACGGTTGCTGCATTTCTTAATAAACACTTGTCGCGTATAATGAATCTTTTATAGTTTAGAAGCAGTTGAGCGTTGCAAGCAATTGCATATATTCGATGCTTCAATCCCAAACACAATGATTTCGTCAATACAATCCACAATCATTTCTTTGTCGTCAATACCGTACAAATTAGTAAACTATCTTCTCGAAAGCAAACAATCATAGAATCGAATCGAAAAATGTTAGTAAAAGCTACGAATGCTTTTTAGATAAAAGGTCTATAGATCAAAAACTCATATATGGAGATATGGCTAAGGTCTTGGTAATTGAACTAAATTAGTTCAGAAATAAATAAGAAATTTCAAGATAAAAGATGTTAAAGGTGCGAAACAATTTGGTTATTGTGGTAGATTGCCGCAGCGAAGATGAACTTGAAAAAGCTAAAGTAGCCATCGAAAGATTCCTGCTTAAGCATTGCGAAATTTAGTTGGCCAGAAAAACCTTAGATTTAAATTTAGATTTATAATAAGCGAATATGAGAAGGATGAACTCACTGAAAAATTTCACAGGCAAAGCGATATGATAAGCAATAGTCAGTTAGGAATTGCCAGGAAGCAAAAAAAAGTTGGGGTAATAATAATAAATAAAGCTTTGTCTTCGTTCCATGAAATACCTGCCGAAGAAACACTATATGCAGATTGGTAAACGTATAAATTATTGTATATGATGTGACGGTGGCGAGAGAGAGAGAGAGAGAGAGAGAGAGAGAGAGAGAGATTTCGGTCTGAACATAGCTGAATAGTGTAAGAACTAACATGTTTGTGTCAAATGTTACAGTAGCCATAAATTGATTGTATGTTAAATGTACAAATCATATAAAAATAAAAAACTTTAGACTTAGTTTAGGCATTAATCACTCGACATTTAGCGAATTCTCTCTAATGTGCATAAACAAATTAAAATTAGTTAAGAGAGATTGATTGATCATTAAATAGTCGAACTTAGTTATTGTGCACGTAGAAGGGAGCTTTAAAAAATCTAAAATCAATTTGATTAATTGTTTGCTATCTTTGTCATTAATTGACGTCACAGGTATAACTGAAATTTGGTGCAAGCCGGATACTTACTAACAATAGGTTTCACGAAATAAATGAATGCAATTTATTATGACTTGATGCGGCCCGCGACCCTGATTGAATCGATACCTATATGATCAAAATGATTCTAAGCTATAACTAATGGTCTAAGTTAAAATCAGGCAATAATCGTGTGGTTACTAATTGCAAATTTTCCAATTTCTAATTAATGAAAATTTACTGTTTTTAAGAAACTTAAGCTGATTTCTTTGAAAGACTATCGTCTAGTTTTCGTCTAATTTTGCCCAACTTTACCCAAAAGTTTTTGAAAGCTTATTAGAAGATTAAATCTAAAATCGAGAAATTTTTTTGCACTCTAACCATTGGGGCTGTAAGTGTAGTCATAGTTGTAACAGCTAGGGAAGGTGTTCGCACCTATGACTATGGTTGCAGCAATTTACACATTTTAATAATTTGATTGATTTCTTAATACCTCCGATACCATGGATCATTATTATCTTCTAATGGAAAAGTTGGAGAGTTAGAGAGAGATTTACTTTGATTTCAGCCTTAGGGTGATTATGTTCATGAACTTTTTTTTTTGGTAAACCAATATCAACGCCTTAAGCTTGACTGCTCATATTTATTTATATTTGTTCACTTTATTGCTGGATTATGGGCTGATGAGTGTATTCGGCGCTTGTGCACTCAATGGTGACCGTTATTAAAATATGATAAGAACATAGTTTGTTGTTGCGCCTCATAGCAAATAAGTAATATTTCAGCAGATAAATAATTTCGGTACTAATACGAGACGATACTTCTGATTTCGAAAAAGCGAAGTTAAGTCATAAGAGTGCAACTTTCAGAAAAAGTATACGTAAATGTAGACTTTAAAATGTTGGCTTATAAATCCAACCGAAAAATTAATAAATAAAAAGAAATCGATAAAGCACCCTATACATTAGAAAGTTTATGGGTTGACTTGAGCTGTAAGTATTTAATAAAGAATCAAAATTAAAACAAGTATATGTTATTTTCTGATATTTTGAATTTGTTACCTTTGGGTTTTCATTGCTTACATTGCTTTACATTGCTAAGAGAAACTATATATTGATCGCTGTCACAAGAAACTTTTGCCCAAAATATAATAATCAGACTTCAATGAATATATAGGTCTTGGTACTTCTCGCACAAGTGGCGATTGTTAGTCTTCCAAAAAAAAAAAAATCTGATCAAATATATACACTAAACAAACACAAAATTAAGTTCACGTATTAAAAAATATCATTAAGTGCTGCATGTTGTGATTTAGTTTAGCAATATTCTGCCATAATTAGGCAAACGAAAAAATATATTAAGCCTTTTTATCTCAATAGTTCCGATAGTAATTCAATTTTTAAAATCTTTACCGAGTTGTGATATACTACTACTACGATAGAATGGATAGCCACGACGACTATCAAGATAATATAATAGACTACAGTTAGAACATGTCTTAATATCAATGTTAAAGAAAAGGCTTAGTTTTTCCTGTTTTTTTTTCTTTTTTAAACTTTATTTGTACAAGAATAATTTTTTGAATACAAAAAAAAAAAAAAAAAAAAAAAAAAAAAAAAAAAAA